GCATAATTATCTCGCGAGCCGGCTGGCCTTTGCTTTACTGCGTGCTAACATCATGTGTCTGCGGGGGGGGGGGGGGGGGGGCGCGCTCACCATTTCTCTGGCATAGGGGGATGGATGACACCTCTCCAGATGTTCCTGTTGCCGAAGCCCGCCTTGTTGGCAACTAGCTAACACGGGTAACGGATACTGACTGATCAACAGAGACTATCTCAAAAATGGAGTTGTCATTGTGTGCAGATTGTAAAGTTTCATTTTATTTTTATTTACATTTTTTTTACGAACTTAGAAGTTGCGACTTCGGCGATAATAGTTATGAAGTTGATTGTGCTCGTGTGCTCCGGATGGCAGTCGTGAGTCAGTCAAGTGTCAAGTTCGGCAAGAAGCGTGTGTTCCTAGTTGGAACAATCAACTTCATTAATTTTTTTTGTTTTGTTTTGCTTTGTAGTTGTTGCGTCAGGCCAGTGAAATCATGTTCTGTGATTGCCCGTATAAGAGGCTTGTTTTTTAAGTGCTAGAGGTGGCTGCAGTCACAGCTGTGTTGGTGAAACTGGAGTATCTCCGCTGACCTGAGGTCTCGGCTCCAGCGACACTTCAGTGCACCAAAAAGTGGGGAACAGCAGACTTATACTAGGGCGCGTTCGAATTGACACTCAGCTTTGACTTTTCGAGGAGTTTCGTTTTCCTGAAGAGGTGGCCTAAGGCCTTGGCCTCTTCAGGAAAACGAAACTTCACAACCTCATCCGATGGGAGAGGTGGACTAGTTCCGAAGAGTTTGGAATACATGTAGCTACGTCGAGATGGTCGATCTGATCGGACGTCATTATCGCCATGACAATTCCACTAAAAAAAACTCTAAAAATTAAGATACCGTTCGGGACACTTCAACTAATCTCTTTCAAAAATTTGTTCGAACAGTTGATGAAGACAATTCGAACGCCCCCTAAGGAGATCGCCCGGGAGGAGCAGAGCATTATTTCACGATAGAGGGGGGGGGGGTAAGATTGGGTTATGGGTTCTTGGTGATACATGCAACAGAGTAAAACTGGTGTAGGCGACCTCTGGGTTTAGCGACCACCTGCTCTTAACGACCGTTTTTCATGCACGGATAGTTCTACACAGAAACTGTGGGACCTGGTTCTAAAGACCACCTGGCTTTATCGACCGCTTTTGCTTGCACCGTGGGCCGTGGGGTGGTCGCTTAAACTAGGTGTTACTCTACATGTACATTTAACGGAGTAAAACTGGAGGCTAGGGTACTGGGGCGGGGGCAAGCGAAGAGGGTGTCCAGGGAGGGTTCAGAGGGGCGTGATGATCTGTGGCTGAGTGCCAGTCTAGTCTCGACTGCGGTCTGCGCGGACACGGACTTGTGTGAGGCGACTTCCTACCGTAGAATACCTGCATTCGCTTCTGTGTAGGAAGATCAGGCAGCATGCAGGGCAGCGGGGAGACCATCCCATTGTTGGATCGTGGCGTGGGGGATGATCGGAGAGCAGCTCGGGGGGGGGGGGGGGGGGGGGGGGGCAGTGCCAGTGTCTGTGTTAGCTTGCTGACGGCGAGCGGAACGCCGGTGCTGGTTAGCGACCTACATGTATCTCGGGGTACGGGTATCATGGTCGTCGAGATTGGGTGGTAGTCAATCCACTGCACTAACTGCAGCTTGTCTAGCGCAGTACAGTAGAGGCAAGTGATTCCTGCGAGGCTGCGACTTGACGCCACGGCCGCACAGCCTAGTCAGTGAAGCAGCGTGTGATTGCAGTGTACTGGCCAACGATGTCTTTCCAACCTCCGCACTGCTGCTATCTAGCGCTATAAATGAATATCCGTGTACTCCCGAAATGTTTTATCGCTCTTGTCCGCACCCACTTGTCTTTGCTATCACTCGTTCACCGCGTTGACGGCCCAATGACGGGCGTTGCTTCTCTGGTCGTTTACTAGTACTGCGGGCGTGCAAACTTTACTAATATTTCAATACACACCGAGCCATAATTATCATAACATAATAATACATTACGAAGTAGTGGTTGCGACTTCGGCGATGATTTTGTAAGAAAGGTTCGCTCCCCACACCGGAGCTCGCGCTATTCCGCCGACTTTACTTGACACTTGACTGACTCACGACTGCCATCCAGAGCACACGAGAAGTCCATCGAACCTTCGACTCGGCAAACCTGCAAGAAAGCACCACTCCCTGCTCAATACACAGTGTTTCGGGGAATTCACCCCTCATCAGTTGAGCTTGAGTAGGCTGAGGAAGATTGTGCCTGAAGAGCACCACTTATATAGTGCTCTCCAGGCACAAACATCACCAGGGATACAAACTTACAGAGACGCTCCGCTTCCAGCGCGACAAACACCTCGTGAACACCAGATAGCAGCGTGAGTCAGTGTCGCTCCTGGACGGTGAGACAGACGTCGACGTCATTCGTCTCTTCAGGCACAATCTTCCTCAGCCTACTCAAGCTCAACTGATGAGGGGTGAATTCCCCGAAACACTGTGTATTGAGCAGGGAGTGGTGCTTTCTTGCAGGTTTGCCGAGTCGAAGGTTCGATGGACTTCTCGTGTGCTCTGGATGGCAGTCGTGAGTCAGTCAAGTGTCAAGTAAAGTCGGCGGAATAGCGCGAGCTCCGGTGTGGGGAGCGAACCTTTCTTACAAAGTCATCGCCGAAGTCGCAACCACTACTTCGTACTGTTGTGCCCAGCGCGGGCTTGCGACTAGTTGGTTTGGAGGTGACAGCGTTGCGAATGACCGAGGGTCCTCGACGTCTGTCTCACCGTCCAGGAGCGACACTGACTCACGCTGCTATCTGGTGTTCACGAGGTGTTTGTCGCGCTGGAAGCGGAGCGTCTCTGTAAGTTTGTATCCCTGGTGATGTTTGTGCCTGGAGAGCACTTTATAAGTGGTGCTCTTCAGGCACAATCTTCCTCAGCCTACTCAAGCTCAACTGATGAGGGGTGAATTCCCCGAAACACTGTGTATTGAGCAGGGAGTGGTGCTTTCTTGCAGGTTTGCCGAGTCGAAGGTTCGATGGACTTCTCGTGTGCTCTGGATGGCAGTCGTGAGTCAGTCAAGTGTCAAGTAAAGTCGGCGGAATAGCGCGAGCTCCGGTGTGGGGAGCGAACCTTTCTTACAAAATCATCGCCGAAGTCGCAACCACTACTTCGTACTGTTGTGCCCAGCGCGGGCTTGCGACTAGTTGGTTTGGAGGTGACAGCGTTGCGAATGACCGAGGGTCCTCGACGTCTGTCTCACCGTCCAGGAGCGACACTGACTCACGCTGCTATCTGGTGTTCACGAGGTGTTTGTCGCGCTGGAAGCGGAGCGCCTCTGTAAGTTTGTATCCCTGGTGATGTTTGTGCCTGGAGAGCACTATATAAGTGGTGCTCTTCAGGCACAATCTTCCTCAGCCTACTCAAGCTCGACTGATGAGGGGTGAATTCCCCGAAACACTGTGTATTGAGCAGGGAGTGGTGCTTTCTTGCAGGTTTGCCGAGTCGAAGGTTCGATGGACTTCTCGTGTGCTCTGGATGGCAGTCGTGAGTCAGTCAAGTGTCAAGTAAAGTCGGCGGAATAGCGCGAGCTCCGGTGTGGGGAGCGAACCTTTCTTACAAAATCATCGCCGAAGTCGCAACCACTACTTCGTACTGTTGTGCCCAGCGCGGGCTTGCGACTAGTTGGTTTGGAGGTGACAGCGTTGCGAATGACCGAGGGTCCTCGACGTCTGTCTCACCGTCCAGGAGCGACACTGACTCACGCTGCTATCTGGTGTTCACGAGGTGTTTGTCGCGCTGGAAGCGGAGCGCCTCTGTAAGTTTGTATCCCTGGTGATGTTTGTGCCTGGAGAGCACTATATAAGTGGTGCTCTTCAGGCACAATCTTCCTCAGCCTACTCAAGCTCAACTGATGAGGGGTGAATTCCCCGAAACACTGTGTATTGAGCAGGGAGTGGTGCTTTCTTGCAGGTTTGCCGAGTCGAAGGTTCGATGGACTTCTCGTGTGCTCTGGATGGCAGTCGTGAGTCAGTCAAGTGTCAAGTAAAGTCGGCGGAATAGCGCGAGCTCCGGTGTGGGGAGCAAAACTTTCTTACATAATAATACATGTAAATATTATTATTGGTGTACAGACCAAACGAACCTGACCTCCGCAACCAGGTCAGTGTGTCCACGTATGTACAATGTATGGTTGATTTCTTTTCAAATCAGGTACAGTACTACCCCCCCCCCTCCGAACAGGGTCCCAGTCTCCCCCCCCCCCCCCTCCGAACAGGGTCCCAGTCTCCCCCCCCCTCCGAACAGGGTCCCAGTCTCCCCCCCCCCCTCCGAACAGGGTCCCAGTCTCCCCCCCCCCTCCGAACAGGGTCCCAGTCTCCCAGAATCTGGGCCAGATCAGTGACACTGACAGCGCGGTGACTGCGCGCGGCGGCCAGTCCTGCTGACCTGCATGGCGGCACGAGTCTAGAGTCTCAAGCACGCACTACATGCAAGCCGATAGCTAGTGCTGCTTCCGCCATTCTCATTTTCACTTCCATGATAAGTATTTCATCTTCACACGTACACCAGCGCTTGTAAGCTTGTAACGGTTACCGATGACAGTATATCGCTAAGGTGACGGACATAGACACATAAATAGTGGCAGTCTTCGCCTCAGTCATTCCTTCACGCACCCGTGCCGTATGTGGAACTGGCAAAGAGTCTCTTCTCACTCAGGCATTCGTGTGTGTCGAGGCCTGCACGGAAAAAGTGCATCTGCAACACGAAACACCAAGGCAAAGGTGTGAGGCTAAGTCGGGAAGGGTGGTGATTTGGGGAGTGCCATGTGCACTTTGCCTGTATATGCACTTCAGGTGTAGTGCGCCGGCTTCTTAGCAACCCAAGAAGCAGAAAGACGCACCGTGTATGTGTGTGTGTGTGTGTGTGTGTGTGTGTGTGTGTGTGTTTGCGAGTGTGTGTGTGTGTGTGTGTGTGAGAGTGCGTCCCCGTTTTATTTCTAGTTGTGATCGTGTTGGCTGTTGGCAAGCGCAGCCTCTACCTGCAAGACTGGACAACGTCAAGTGGCAGCGTTGTCCTCGCCAGCTCTAGCGTTGCAATGACGCCAGCAAACGCACTCACTTTGAAAGAACACACCACCACAAACAAGAACAAACCTCTCCTCGCCGTCCTGCTCCAAGGTTGCAAAGAACGCTCGTGCTGTGTTTGCCAAACAGCCCAGGAAAGGAAAGCAGCAGCCGAGAGAGTTTGGCGATCGCAAAATAGATGCCCGCACTAGGAAAATGACGAACGAAACAGACGCAGTGGTGTCACTGCCACTTGCAGCCGGGACAAGCAGTGATAGAAGAGAAAGAGGGAGTTGTCAACATTGTCAATCGCTTGTCAGAGCTGCACTGTTCATAATCGCCTTGTGGTGTGTTTGCTGTACAACATGTGGTGCCGCACCAGTATACCAGTCAGCTACCGCTTCAGGCGATTACCTAACTAATTCCACTGCTGTCATTCCTAATGATAACCGTACTGACGGTGCTACTGTTGCTGATGTTGATCATCTTGCTGGTGATGGAAGCCATTTGCCGCTCGATCGGTTTAAGATGATGCGAGTTACTGTGCACCAAGTCCAGTGCCTTGTTCAGTGTGGACACGTCCTGGCTGTGGTAAGTCATCATCTTGTGGGCGTGTGTGCGTGCGTGTGTGTGTGTGTGTGTGTGTGTGCGTGTGCGCGCGCACGTGTGCGTGTGTGCTTGTTGCTACGATGTTCGTTCGTGCTGCCCAAATGTGTAGTTGATTTGTCGGTTTTAATTATTTGCTTGCGTTGATGTCACTCCTATGACTGTAGTGACTTGTGGGCAGATGATACACGTGACCGCATGATCACATGTCCACATGTCCACATGACCACACGATCGACTTATTAGGATACAGATTTGTAGACGAAAATGTAGACTTGATTGCAACTCCGAGTTTCACGCTGTTCATGATCACCAAGCAGCCTAACTATTTTAGAAGTGTTGTTCGAAGTGCTGTTCTATGCTTTGCATGTGAATTGGCCAAGTCCCACTGAATTATTACATGGACAGTGCTGGCAACTGAAATCCGACCCCTGAGCGGTGCGCTCACATCGCAAAAAGACCCACCGCAGGGTAGTAAAACTACGAAGAAATACTAGCGTAGAGACCGCTAGAATGCGAACGCATCGCTAAGGAGTCGGATTTCAGTTGCCAGCACTATACAGTCAACTTCGCTAATACTGACTGCGGATATAACGACAATTCGCGAATAACGACAGAATTTCCATGCCCAGAGCAAAGTCCCATCCCACTGTAATACCCACTCCTTATTATTCAGTTCGCCGTGGTTGGCTACCACCCGACTTCTCATATATATTGGCAGTCTTCTGACGAGCCAGGAGATGTTGAATTAATAATAATAATAATAATAATGAGACTTCGGGTATAACGACACTTCGCGAATATGGACACCTTTTTGACGCCCCGCCGAGTGTCGTTATAAGCCAAGTTGACTGTACATGTATGTGACAAGTCGCCTGAAGATTGCATTGTACAAGAAACTCGGAGTTGCGACAAACTCTGTAAACCTCCTCCATGTCCTTAGTAATAGTATGCCGTAATAGTGCTCCACTTTCTTTATTGTGTTGAGCCCTCTCCGCCGTCTAAAGGAAATTTTCCTCCTTGAACTAAAGTAGAAGTGCCAGCGGTTCTACCAGTAACGGTCGACCTACCAGCTCCTTGCTGGAGAAGACAATGGAATCCTTTCCAAATAGCCATGCACCGAACCGGCCGTTTACACTATACCACATACACATACATACATGATGATGTATGCGATTTGTATGAACACGAAATCACCGGACCGGACCATGCATCGCTAGCTCCATCATTTTCACAATATTTTGTGTAGCGTTAGATCTACAAAAAGCGCACGGAGTGGCGGTAAGTCCAGGTCATGCGCATGTGTTTGTGTTGTTGGCATGGCAGCAAGACAAGCTGGAGGTTGTGCTGTATACATGTACGCGACGAGTCCCACATAAGATATACTCAATACTACTAGTCTAGACTACAAGTCTACATATCCTGCCAGTGACGACGGTATGAGCTTGAAAACGCCAACGCAGTCCAAAGGTCGAACTCTTGAACTCAACGTCGAACTCCTGAACTCGAGAGTTAGTGGACATTCTGCGCCAGTCGATTCTCTTCTCTCCGTCGCTCCTTCTCGCACTCCAGTTTAGTTCCTTAGGCGTGGGAAGGCATACATACCATGGCTAATACTGGCTGCTAAGCCACAGGGTGTAACTGTAAGCCATAGCGAGGAGAGGTGGTAGAGTCACTAGATCCGCGCCTGGCCAGCGCAACTTCTCCGCCCTAGACTAGTCAATGCAGGTGGTGATTCTTTTACGTGACTCTACTGTGTCTCAGCCAGTAGTAGCAGTAGTAGCTGTAGCAGCAGCAGTAGCAGCAGCAGTAGTAGCAGTAGCAGCAGCAGTAGTAGCAATCGCTATGGGTTTAGGTCTGGGTGACATTCCAGTTTAGTTGAGCTGCATCGAGTGGGAGCGAGTCGCATCATGTTACTTTGGCTTTGCTGATGTAAGTCCGCCTATGCCGGCCCATATAGTAAGGGACCTGCGCTGGACAAGCCAGCGAACTGAAACAATACAGTCCGGCTATCCGAAGTGGGTCCATGTCTAAGCGGCAGTAAGGAATAACTAAGGATGGCTGACTCAGCCTGCATCTTCGCAACCAGTACTATTGGAGAGATAAAGCGAAGCGAGGCTCAACCGAAGACAGGAGCTTCGTGTTGAAGGCGACGCGGCACCACCAGAAAGCGTGTGGATCTACCGGAAACATCCACAGTTCACCGAGTGACAGCGAGCTTGCGGCGAAAATAAGGATGGCATGCACTATGCTCACGTCTCAACCAGTGCCCCCCCCCCACACGCACACACCACTCACTTACACACAAACAGCTAAAATACACACAGACGAACATACCTGTAAGTCATTGAGCCCGCGGAGTGCGCGGACAACATTATGCTGCGTCATTGGTTGCAAGCAGGGAACAGTGCTAGCGGTACATCAGTAGTATTGTCCCACTGCTTGAGTAGCATTCTACTACTCCCTGCTCTGGTTGTTAGTCCGACAGAAAATCACTCCTCTTGCTACATGCATTCCTACCGAGTACGTGTACATTATATTGTTGTGATTGGTAGGCGGTTTGGATTCTGTTTTTGTTTGTACTTTGCAGGCATGTCGGCTGCTTTGCCTGCAAGAACTGAGACATGATGAAACATTGACGTCGCTGTGTCATCGTACGAATGTTCTGGTGAGGCTTCAACCCCGCGGTAATGTGTGTGTGCGTGTGTGTGTGTGTGTGCGTGCGTGCGCACGCGTGCGTGTGTGTGTGCGCGTGTGTGTGTGTGTGCGTGTGTGTGTGTGTGTGTGTGTGTGTGTCAGTGTGTGAGTGCGTGCCTGTGACAGTTCTTGCGTGAGTGGCATTGGTCAATGACATATCATGGCTTGAGATTCTGGGATGGGTTTGAAATTGCCTTCATATCGTATTCGGATGACCAACACACAGTCAACAAGAGGATGATACCTGAAGCTGAATTCACTGCTGAGTTGTCAGCTGAATCTACGAACTTTTTCTCGTTTGTTCCCTCACAGCCGTCTGTTCGTGAAGTGCAAAGGTATGTATGCGCACACATGACACCCACTCGGGCACCATCTGGACCAGCCGCGGAATATTCTACGACAACTTCTCGCACTCACTCATCCGGCACCATAGCCGTCCTGCGGCTACAGCTCAACCAAACGCACAGCGTCCTCTACTGGACAAGCGACCACACACCACCGTATCAGCGACAGCACCGAGGACAGAGACTCGTGTACGTGGTGTGTTTGGCGAAGACAAGACAAGGTTGCTATGACCAGACCACGCACAGCCTGGTGAGTGAACTAGCATGTACAGCAGCTGTAGAGATGTAAGGTGTATTGGTCGGGGCACACGCATACTACTTCTACACCAGGGATTGGTCTAAGGGCAGTAAGGCCAGGGTAACTTAGAGAAACGAGAAACCCAGGCTCAAGCCCTGCACCGAAACGGTGAGAGAATGTCCAACCATGCTGCCTATCTTTAACACCCCAGATCCAGAATAAAAGCAACATTTCCCACATTTTCTTTTCGGAACATCTGTCTGTCTGTCTGTCCGTCTGTCTGTCTGTCTGTCTTCCTGTCTGTCTGTCTTCCTGTATGTCTGTCTGTCTGTCCATTTGTCCACCTGTCCATCTGTCTGTCTGACCGCCTGTCCATCTGGATGTCTATCCGCCTTCATTGCAGGTGATTGCATCGCAGGTTGTACTGTCCAACACAGACCTGTCCAACAGGAATGTGTATATAGCTGCAGTGAACGTACCGTCGCGGCTATCTCCCTTACCGCACTTCACCACCACATACAGTGAGTAGGGTACTGGGTACTTACACCCGAGTGTGCTTGATGGATCCGTCAATGAATGTGTCTTGCTAGAAGAGAGTACAGCGAAGCGTGTCTAAGCCGACCGCTCAAGGGACCTTCAAAGCGTGGTCTCTGTTACCAGGTGGTCTCCTTATCCAGGGTCATTCGACTGGAAATAGCATCCCTTGGTCCTGGTTTCAGTGGGTCTTCTAGGACAGGTGGTCACCTTATCCGAGTGGTCGCTGCCTTGACCAGTTTTACTCTACTTATTGGGTCTATAGCTGTAGGTATGCATGCATGCATGCAACCAGAGAGCATCCAGAACGTTGCCATGGGCAATTGCAGAGAGTTGTATTGATAATGTGTAAGTAGAAGCATATCACCCAGTCTGTGTGCACAACAATGTAGAGAAAGACGCGGCATGCCTTCAACTGTTTGCATGTGTCCTTGTGTATGCATGTGTCTGTGTGTGCATGTGTGTCTGTGTGTGTGTGTGTGTCCGTGTATGCGTGTGTGTGTGTCCATGTTGTAGTATAAGCATGTGTGTCTGTGTGTGTGTGTGTCCGTGTATGCGTGTGTGTGTGTGTCCATGTGCATGTGTCGGCATGATTGTACATTTCCTTCCAACTGTAGTCATGACACTGAGTCCAGTACGTAACATTTCTGTTGAGCACACACTAGTGGAGAATCACGCCGCTGTCAACGTCACCTGGTTACCAACTCGTCAACAAAGTGAGTTCTTCATTGGCTGTTGGCCACCTTGTCGGGATATTCAAATGCACACGTTACTTGACAATCGGCACATGCGATAACATTGCACGACACTGACCAACGGTACTGACGTTCTAACTGGCAATCAGCTCTAGCACGTCTTGCCGGGCTACGCACTCCAACAGCCTTCCAACTTTGACTTTTCTTTGCTATAAATTAATCCTCGACTCTCCATCCGAGTTTTCTAATAACGTCTTCTTCTTTTTTGTCCAGATGCTGCCTCATCATGGTACGAGGTCACTATACGACTGTCGCAAGACGCCGCTCCGTCATGCTCCTTTGCACCTCACACTTGGTTTACCAATCAGGTCAGTGTTGGCATGGGTACTGACTGCCACTGCACTGAACTGCATGCGGAGACAAGAAGTGGAATGGTCATAAGGCAGTGGCCTCACCCATACCACTTTGTGTGGTGTGTGTGTGTGTGTGTATGTGTGTGTGTGTGTGTGTGTGTGTGTGTGTGTGTGTGTGTGTGTGTGTGTGTGTGTGTGTGTGTGTGTGTGTGTGTGTGTGTGTGTGTGTGTGTGTGTGTGTGTGGTCATGTTATCAGTCCACATACAAACAAAAAAAGGGGGTACGGCTTTTACTCCGATGATCAAATTCACGGTGATAAAATAGGATAGATGTATGTATTTGTGGCAGAAAAAGTGGGAGGTTCGGCCTATACTCCAGTGCGACTTACACTCCAGTGTGGTGTATACTCTAGAAAATACGGTACACCGTTAGAAAGCTGGCCACGGGTATTCTGTGCTCACAGCTGGCCGCGGGTATTCTGTGCTCACAGAGAGAAAAAAACTTGCCTTGCTGTATCTCCAGTATGTCATCCTCCTTCAAGAGTGCAGCCATGGCTGTCTTCTTGAAGAGTGCAGCAGCCATGGCTGTCTTATTGCAATGGGTTTACTGGTTTTCGAAGGCGTTCTTTTCTGGTTTTGATTTCTGTATGTTGACTGCAGACACAGCTGGTTATTCGTACGGATTTACAAGACGGAAATCTGACACTTGCCTGCCTCTATGAAGTCAAGGTACAGGACTACCCCATTCACGTGTGTGTGTGTGTGTGTGTGTGTGTGTGTGTGTGTGTGTGTGTGTGTGTGTGTGTGTGTGTGTGTGTCAGTGTGTGTGTGTGTGTGTGTGTGTGTGTGTGTGTGTGTGTGTGTGTGTGTGTGTGTGTGTGTGTGTGTGTGTGTGTGTGTGTGTGTGTGTGTGTGTGTGTGTATAATTTATGTGTGTCCCATATGGTGCAGTGGTATGTGCAGCGATTTCCAATCGATAGGTTGTGGGTTCGATTCCCGACGATTATGGCCACACACGTCTTTCTTCTCTTTCTCATACTCTTCCTGACTTTTCTTTCATTCTCCTGGGTGGTTACCAACAGCCAGTGCATGCCGGAGTATGTGGTGTGATGTGTGTGCGGGAAAAAAAAAGGAAAAAAGAAAAAAGAAAAAGACCAAAAATAGGGATTCACTGGCCGGAAACTTTGAAGTCACTTCAAATAGCTGTATGGTGTAGACCAGGCTGAATAGTGACAGTCAATTCTTCAGCCTTGCAAGCTGTTGAATGGTGCAATCCCAGCACAAGTTGCTATGGCTTCTGCCGTAGCATTGCTATCATCGCCTCCGGCGATGGGCGTCAAAGGTCAAGGTATAATTTATTATGTGTATGTGTGTGTATATGTGTGTGTGTGTGCATGCGCGCGTGTGTGTGTGTGCGTGTGTGCACTCGTATGTGTGTTGTATGGTGTGCTTGCATGCAACTTCCGAATTTTGAATTCTGCAGTCCAAAGCAAAGCATCTTATCGATCATCACTTTCATTTCTCTCTCATTTTCTTCATTTACGTAGATACGACAATGGCCAGTGGCCACTGCAGACCAAGCTTCATTTGCTTCGTCAGTTAGTGTAGCGGATGATCATTTATTTCAAGAGTTCATTCTCCCAGGTGAGCACGGTGCTGAATGTATAGTGTATCTGTTTAGGAATTACGCTTACGCCTGTTTTCTTGTAGTCTGATACATTCTAGCTACTTATACAGTCGTTGCCAAAGGAACCCGACCCGTGACTCAAAAGCAGCGCCATGGTTCATGCGGCCTCTGCGGGCAACGCATGGTTTTTTCGACCGTGCATGATGTAATTGAAATGGATATGCGTCACTGCTTCTGACTCGCGCGGGATCGGATTCCTTTGGCCACGACCGTTACGTTAGTGTATGTCTGGTTATCTGTCCCCCCTCCCCCCCCCCCCCTTCTCTTCTCTCTCTCTCTCTCTCTCTCTCTCTCTCTCTCTCTCTCTCTCTCTCTCTTCGCAACGCTAACTCACTCTCTGATAGATGTACATCAGTACTACACACTCTATTGTGCTGCTGTCTCTGTCTCTGTCTCTGTTTGTCTCTGTCTCTGCCTCTGTCTCTAAATAATACTCCTCCTTCAGCCATAGGGTGAACGCTACACATAATCATGCATAGTTTCGTGAGAGAATGGACGCTAAGAGAGAGAAAGAGAGAGAAGATGAGAATCTAAACGTGTGTTGTTGGTGTTGAAATCTTTATTGTCACGATGGCACCATCGCCAAAAAGAGTGTTGTTGTTGTCGTCGTCGTCGTCGCCGTCGTTGTTGTTGTCATTGTTGGCAGGTTGTTCCGACGCAAATCCACTGTGTCAGCTATTCTTCCCGGATGACATGGCTTTCCCAACACAGTTTTTTACAGCCGTCAAGTTCACCTGTGTATCACGATTCATTCTACAGTATTCGTTTGTGTTTCCACGACAACCACTCCCGCAGTACATAGTATCGTTTAGGATACGTGTCATGGCTGGTATTGCATCACCGCTGCCGTTCATGCCGTACATCTTCATGCCAATGACGGAGAGCATTGTCGATATCCGCGACTGGAAGGTGAGCAGAGAGCATAAAAACTGTGTGTGTGCGTTGTGGTGGTGGTTTCAAATCTTTATTCTCACAATGGCCTGGTTGTTGTTGTTGTTGTTGTTGTTGTTGTTGTTGTTGTTGTTGTTGTTGTTGTTGTTGTTGTTGTTGTTGTTGTTGTTGTTGTTGTTGTTGTTGTTGTTGTTGTTGACGGTGTTGGTGGTGCTGCTGCTTTTGTAGTTGTACTTACTAGTTCATACAATAACATTGTGTGGCTTGATTCTACATAAGGCCAATGCTTCACTTGCGCAGATCAGTGATGATGATTTCTGGATTTGCCTGTTTGTTTGTTTGTGTGCATGTGTGTGTGTGTGTGTGTGTATGTGCATGTGTGTGTGTGTGCATGTTTGTTTGTTTGTGTGTTTGTTTCTGTGCATGGTGTGCACTGCAGGCTGGACCAGGGCAGACTGTCGAAGGCAGTGTGACAATTAACAATCCATCACTCGCCGGTCTAGACCTAGTGGCCATGAAAGCTTCTGTAAGTCACTGGCAGTGTGCCGGACTGTGTGCATGTGTGTGCATGGCTAGAGGTGGCTGTGTGCATGGCTAGAGGTGGCTGTGTGCATGGCTAGAGGTGGCTGTGTGCATGGCTAGAGGTGGCTGTGTGCATGGGTATAGCTAGTTGAATCATCTTTTCCAAGACTGCATGCTTCGAATCTCTCTCTTCTTTGTTACCCCTTTGTCAGGGAAAATATTGTGACAAGTCCCCGGCAATGAGCAAGATGATAATCTAAGTATATATGTGTGTGTGTGCGTGTATGTGTGTGTGTGTGTGTATGCATGTGTGTGTATGCGTGCGTGTGTGCGTGCATATGTGTTTGGATTGTACTACATACAGCTACAAGTGTATATCCTGGGTGAGATGGAGGACATAGACGGCTCTCCAATCCGTACACCCTACACAAGTACACAGCTGGAAGCTGACCCGTACACACTCAGCGTGGATAGACAATCTCCAGCTGCACTGGGTCTAGGTAAGGGCATACAGTAGTCAGCAGGTCACTCAGTACCGAGTTATGCTATCATCATTATAATGGTATGGATTGCCTTTGTTGCCAGGGGTGACACAAACATTCGATCACGTTATTTTAAGTTTTGATTGATTGAACACCACCTCAACAATACTGCAATTTCACAAATGTTCGGTTCGCTGTATTTTACTTTTGGCACTTTTGGTGCATCTCGGCCGCACCTAAAAGTTCAATAGCATCTCTCTCCCTCTCTCTGTTTTACATGCACAGGTGACTGCACATCCAGCAGCAGCAGCAGCAGCACACGCCCATACCAATACCCACGTCGTATAAACGTCTTAACTCGCCCCGACACCGCCACCCACATCATCCCGTTCCGCATCCCTGGCATGAGCACCGCAGAGGCAGGGGAACTCCCTTCAGCCTCGCCATCCGTTGTTGACAGTACGGTACTGATCGCATCCATAGCGGCATCTGTCTCCGTTTTCTGTTTTATCATCATCGCCATCATCATCCTATGCCGTCGTGGCACTCTCAAGACGCCGTATCTAGAGCGACGCTCGCTAAGTCGCACCATGCTGAAACGCAACCATACCTACCTCAAGTCCCCGAACACCAAAAACAAGAAGTTATTCAGCAACATGGCCGCTAAGCTAGCAGACTGGGAAGTCGATAACGGGCACGTTGCCACTGGCGACTTGCTCGGTGAAGGCTCGTTTGGTCGTGTTTCCATGGGCACGCTGATGCAGCTACCCGGCTCTACCAGCAATAGCAGTAGCAACGGCATCTGTAGAAGTGGCAGTGACAGTGGTAGTAGTAGTCGTAGTAGTGCTGGTGGTGCTGGTGGTGCTGGTGGGTGTACTTCAGTCATGCCTATGCAAGTCGCTATCAAACGATGTCGAGGTGAGTGGCAATTGTACTGTCCTGGTCTGTCTTGAGATTGTCTGTCTGTCTGTCTGTATGTCTGTCTGTCCATCTGTTAATCTGTCTGTCTGTCTATCTATCCATATGTAGGTCCGTCTGTCTGTCCATTTGTTCATCTGTCTGTTTGTCCAACTGTCTGTCCATCTGTCTCTGTCTCTCTCTCTTTCTGTCTCTCTCTCTCTCTCTCTCTCTCTCTCCCTCTCTCTCTCTCTCTCTCTCTCTCTCTCTCTCTCTCTCTCTCTCTCTCTCTCTCTCTCTCTCTCTCTCTCTCTCTCTCTCTCTCTCTCTCTCTCTCTCTCTCTCTCTCTCTCTCTCTCTCTCTCTCTCTCTCTCTCTCTCTCTTCTCTCTCTCTCTCTCTCTCTCTCTCCTCTCTCTCTCTCTCTCTCTCTCTCTCTCTCTCTCTCTCTCTCTCTCTCTCTCTCTCTCTCTCTCTCTCTCTCTCTCTCTCTCTCTCTCTCTCTCTCTCTCTCTCTCTCTCTCTCTCTCTCTCTCTCTCTCCTCTCTCTCTCTCTCCTCTCCTCTCTCTCCCTCTCCCTCTCCCTTCTCCTCTCCTTCCCTCTCATCTCTCTCCTCTCTCTCTCTCTCTCTCTCTCTCTCTCTCTCTCTCTCTCTCTCTCTCTCTCTCTCTCTCTCTCTCTCTCCCTCTCCCCTCTCTCTCTCTCCCTCTCTCTCTCTCCCATCCTATACCTTGGTAACCCACCCACCTACAATCTCACATGAACCTGGACAACCGTGAGAGGCATTACTAAGTTCTGTGCACTGCACCAAACCCAATGACCTTAAACCTGTGTTCACTTTGATCCTGGTGGTACTGCACAGGCCGTGTTCAACACAATCAATCCGGCATTAAAGCATCCCTTTGTTTGATTTGGTTCGCCTCCCGCCGCTTTAGGAGCTGCATCTGTACCATTGACCTTTTGAAGGCTGGTGGCGTTCCTTCGGATGCTGAAAACTCAGTCAAACTGATTAAGTAAACCTTGATTTTTTTGTTTTTGTTTGTTTGGTTCTCTGCATTTCGGCCTCCCTTTTGATTTTGTCTTTCCATGCTTGTGTGTATTTTCAGACAACGCCACTAAAGCCGACAAGTGGTGTTTGCTGGAAGAGGTAGAAGTCATGATCAAAGCTATGGATGGTCGCGACAGCAGCAGAGACATCAACATTGTCGGTCTCGTCGGCTGCATCACAACGGGTGAACCGTACTCTCTGATAATGGAATATGTCCCTCATGGCCGACTGCTGGATTTGCTGAGAGGCGCAAGGAACAAGGTATGTTGAGTACTCAGCAACAAGCTGCCTCCAGTCCAGGTGGTTATACTGATAATGATAGTCGTCTGTAAGTACACGCTTACCTCGTTTATCCGGACTCGGATGAACGAGTCAGTTTTCGGACTCGGACGAAGAGCCAAGGATGAAAAGTTAAAAAGAGAGCACCAAAGGTTTACAAGTTATCCGTTTTTCGTCGAACACTAGCCACTATATGCATGATACCGGTGTGTCAGAACATGCAACGATTATCACAACACTGACTGATGAGATATTGATATTCAACGACTTGATGCTTAGCTGCATCATGTCTTGGAATGCGCAATCCAACAGCCTTCCAACTTGGAGCCGGTTGAGGGATCCTGGGGTGATAGTCTTGCTGACTCATAAATCTGAATGAGTTCAGCTATTCTAACCCAATCTCTCAGAGTTCAGTTTTTCTAACCCAATCTCTCAGTGCGGTGGACCTAAGAATGACACCTCTCATTCAGCATGTTGAAATGCAGTCACTGCCAGTCAGTACATGCACAAGGGGTTGACGTTGGGTGTCACGCCACTTCTGAACTGAATCCAATCTGCATTGCTGCTGCTACTGCTGCTGCTGCGGCCATTTCTGTTGCTGCTGCTGCGGCCATTTCTGTTGCTGCTGCGGCCATTTCTGTTGCTGCTGCTGCGGCCATTTCTGTTGCTGCTGCTGCTGCTGCTGCTGTTACTGCGGCCATTTCTGTTGCTGCTGCTGCTGTTTTTGTTGTTATTGGTTGTTGCCGTGACTGCTATTCCCGCTGCTCTTCAACTCTGATATTTGCATTTCTTTCATCACCGCTGTTGTTGTTGTTTCAAATCTTTATTCTCACGATAGCCAGTGGCCAATAAGAGATAATAGTGTAAGAAAGGAGAAAGAGTGAGGAAGAATTGGGTGGGCAGGGCCTAGGGGTTAATGACTACTTAAGTGTACGGGCAGGGGTGGTCGCCACACGAGCATACAGAGTTGCGTACTTAAGTGTACGGGCAGGGGTGGTCGCTACACGAGCATACAGAGTTGTGCAACAGCAGGGATATCTCGGATTTGAAGGGAGCACGAGAAGGGATTTCGCGAAGCTGGGTGGGCAGGCAATTAAAGTAATGTTGTTGTTGTTATTGTTGTTGTGGTTGTTGTTGTTGTTCAGAGCAAAGAGTATGACGACATACTGCTAGCTAGCCGTGGTCGTGTGTTTGTTGACGTGGATGAGAGTGGAGCAGTGCGGACTACCGAGGCAGCCAAGTATGGCCGGCAGATAGCCCGCGGAATGGTAAGGACAACGACGGTCATGCTAACTATTTAGAAGCACTGGCATACACACATACACAAACACATACACACATACACACGCACACACCAGCACGCACACACTGACACCCCCTCCCCTCCCCCCCCCCCCCCCACACAAACACCAGCAATCTCCTGTTACATCATGGGGAACACGTTTTGCTTTGTGCTATCATCTGCTGCTGCTGTTCATGCTGCTGATGCTGCTATTGTTGATGCTGTTCCTCTTTCTGCTGTTCATGCTGCTTCTACTGCTGCTGTTGCTTGAGTGCAGGACTATCTAGCTAGTAAGCATCTCATACATCGCGACCTGGCAGCGCGTAATATCCTGGTCGGCGAGGACAAGGTGTTGAAGATCTCGGACTTTGGCCTGTCTCGCGACGTCGGCAAAGACAACGTGTACATGTGCATGACTAGTGGCAAGCTGCCGATGAAATGGATGGCGCTGGAGTCACTGGAGGACAACATCTTCACCGTCAACACAGACGTGTAAGTTATCTAACATGCTACAGTACTGTCGGTCGCCAAAGAACTGGGTGGGAGGTCAGCCTCCTAGCCTGGATCGTTCTTATTTTCATGTATTACAGTCTATGCACAGTTTAGTCACCGTGTATACATTGGTATGCTGTGCTTGGTGAAATTCTAGCCTGGCCATTCTTCGGCCGTCCGATAGAACTGTACTGTAACGAAAGCCACCAGCCACAATAAGGGAAGTCAGCACTGTGCATGATGTAGCTATGGCGTGATCAGATTTTGACAAGTAAAAGTGTGCCCAACACAGTCTGTCAACTAAAAACAGTTGCTAGACTCACACAACTACAGCACAAGACACGAATTCAACAGGTTTATCGACTGAACATGCTTCTACCCACGCACACTTGGAGGAAACACACACACACACACACACACACACACACACACACACCTCAGACCTCAGACATGCCCATCGCGGAAGCGATGATAGCGAACAGCTATGTTAGACATAGCAACTTGTGCTGGGATTACACCATTCAACAGCACACACACACACACACACACACACACACACACACACACACACACAATTGTACTTGCTTGTACTTGCTCACTGCCAAAACTGGTCACGTGGGTCTCCCCGGGAGAGGGGAGAGAGACTCAAAAGGAATCTTGGAAAGATGACTCAATTGGCCATTGAACCACCCAACGTCCGACACCCCCTGAAATCCCCAAACTAGGGTGGACTTGAAAATGATCCCACTTATGGGCTCACCACACCTCAGTAAGTGGGTGAGGACAAGGTGCAGAAAAAGGATTGACGGCATCAGGGTATCCGTCCCGGGATCCAACTGCAGGTACCCCTGCCCCCAGTGAAGGTAATACTTGCTACTAGTGTGGGTGGACACACACACACACACACACACACACACACACGCACACACACACACATATCTAGCAGTCTAGCAGGCCGCAGGCGCGTACGCAGGGTCGGCGGGTGGGGGTTACATGGGGTCCGGTGTCGTAAATAGCTAGGCCACATCAACTAATTATTGCGCGCGTTGCCTATTTCAGCGCATGCACAGTGCATAAAGACGTCAAGTAGTCGTTGAATCTGCGACTTGACGACTCGTTGACAGCACGGCACGACGCCCACGCCCAGCGCAGGGCAACAAAAGACGAAAACCGAAACAAATCGTTCAGTCAGCTGACAGAACCCTGTAACCCCCCAGGGTACGCGCCTGGGAACGCGCCTGGATCGACATGCTAAATTAATTAATTGTGGATGCTTCTGCTCCAAGTACAAAAAAAGTGGCCACAATTATCCTATTATACACTTTTTTTTACAGTTTTTCACATGCTGGTGAGCTAGTCTACTCACCTCCCACCGCTTTAGGAGCTGCATCTGCGTCTTGATCTTTGAAGGGTAGTGGCGTTCCTACGGATGCGGAAAACTCGGCCTCTATAATATAGATAAACCGAGTCTCACGCGAATCGTGAAATTTTTATTTTTTTACAGTTTTCTGATGATCGCCCCGTGCGTGAAACTCGGGAGCTACAACGCAAACCGTTGTCCTCTTCTTCTTGTACATATGTGTAACATCTGTCTGTTTGTCTGTCTGTCTGTATGTCTGTTTGTCTCTGTGTGTGTTTGTCTGTTTATCTCTCTCAGATGGTCGTTTGGTGTGGTCATGTGGGAGATTTGCACATTGGGGGAATTCCCCTACCCGGCAGTGGAATGTGCGGAGTTGAGAGAATACCTTCAGCAAGGACACAGACTGGAGAAGCCACATAATACCGATGAGAGAATGTACGTCAGGTGCCGATGTGTACCGCTTTCCTCTCTCTCTCTCTCTCTCTCTCTCTCTCTCTCTCTCTCTCTCTCTCTCTCTCTCTCTCTCTCTCTCTCTCTCTCTCTCTCTCTCTCTCTCTCTCTCTCTCTCTCTCTCTCTCTCTCTCTCTCTCTCTCTCTCTCTCTCTCTCTCTCTCTCTCTCTCTCTCTCTCTCTCTCTCTCTCTCTCTCTCTCTCTCTCTCTCTCTCTCTCTCTCTCTCCCTCTCTCACACACACACACACTCTCTCTCTCACACACACACACACACACACACACACACACACACTCTCTCTCTCTCTCTCTCTCTCTCTCTTTCTCTCACCCCCCCCCCCCACACACACACACATACGTCTGCTTCCACTCCTATGCCTGTGTTAGTGCTACTAGAGTCCATTCAGAAAAAGATGATATCCTAGCTTTTGGCCATAAACGGGACAAATTTTGAGTTTCGTCTCCTTTTTTTGGCAATTCCCCATGGAATGCTCTTCCAATTGTGTTTTTGAAGTCTATTTCTCCAAAAAGCAAGCCATAACCAGAATAGGATTTCGGCCAGGTTTTGCCCCCAAAGCACTGAATTGGGTAAAAACCATGAAAATCCAGGCCGTTCACTCCACTTGCATAACAGTACATTTGCGGTTCGAACCCCAGTTGAAGTACCTTTTGGACCCTTTTTCAAGTTTCGAATCGCGCGGCACTGCACAGTGTACCACAAAATCGCCAAACACGGGAGCTCTCCAGAGCCAGCACTCAACCCGGCTTTTTCTGAATGGACTGTAGAGTCAAGCCGCCGGGGCATACCAAATCACCAGGCACAACACAACATGTTTCTACCATAACCTCTACCCCAATCACACTTTAGCCTAGCACTGCATATCGACACTAGATGCTTGTTAACAGGTGTTCACGTCCTGTGTCCTTTCTTCTCATTGTAGCTACCAACTGATGCTGAGTTGCTGGAACAGGGCCGCCAAGCAGAGACCGGAGTTTGCAACATTACAACAGCAACTGGAGCACATCATCCGGGCTACCGAGTCGTACTTTGAATTCGACGGAGAAGGGTCAGCTGGGACCGAGGCAGAATCCGATGCATACGACATGCCCTCGCAGCTCTAACTGCATCATCAGTATGACATCATAGTTCACTAGATGATGTCATTGAGCATCAGTATGACATCAGTTCACTAGATGATGTCATTGAGCATCAGTATGACATCAGTTCACTAGATGATGTCATTGAGCAACGGTCAACCAAGGCATCACCACAACAAAGAGTTTGTTTAGTCATCGGTGGTCAATGTGGCAGTGCACGCTCACCCTATGACATCATTCGCACTGCCTCGGACTCAGAGTGCATGATGGCTATCTGCCATGATGATTACAGCTACCATCGATGACGTCATCAGCATTGGAAGCAGTGACACTGCACTGCTGCGCCATGGTGGCTTGGAGTAGTAATCTTAGCACTCTCTGCTCCTTGACAATTGACCAACGGTCTAGGACGGCATTGCACTTGAAGCACGTTCGCCGCGAGTGTTGACCTCAACAAACGCATAGCACATGCCATTGTTTGATTACACACAAGTGCAGTATTCATTTTGACTACACATTACTACACATTCACGTCTTCTACACTCGGGACAACGGTGTAATGCACAGAACACTACAAGCAGGGGAGAAGCAGTACAGCATGTGAACCAATCACCCGTGCATGTGCACAACTGTACAACTGCACATACATGTAGTGCGAGGTTGAAACAGCTAGCACTCCCAGATTGAGAATGAGTAACTGTATTGTATATTGACCAGCACACAACAACACGTAGGTATTGAAGTGTTGAGGTGTTGAGGTGTAGCTACTACTAGCTACTGCTTGTACATGTACCACACGTATGTACAACGACGTAGTGTGGACTGCATGTATGTGCAACGACGTAGTGTGGACGACTGCACACTACCTTGCACATACATAGACACCTGTACACCTGTACACTAGAGCTGGAACACGACTATCACCACTACCATCACAACTATCATGATCCCCACTATCAACACTTGATGCTCAGAAAAGCCGTTGAAGCAGTAAAGTTAGCAGGCAGCATAGTTTCAGTTTTACATTTCTAGCATATGCTATATTTCTCGGTTGAATGTTTTCTCGTGAGTATCGTACCTACACATCAGCGCTAACACCAGCAAAAGAACATTAGAACATTTCTCCGACTGGTCTACGCTGTATTCACCTCTGCTGCACTCCTTGTCAATGTCGTTGTTGCTGGCACTCAACCCGATGCCGTTTACCTTGCCGGGCTATGCTCGGTGTAACGACTATCACAGAGTTGGTCGGACACACTGGAACTTGACTACTCAATACATACCATACATGTACATTGACATTAGCCTATCTCTCTGATCTTTTCTGTCATATTACACCGTACAGAAACATTTCAAGATGACAGGCACACCAACTTTTGATTTCCTGTGACACTGATCTTCAGTTTTCGGGAACTTCTTTACAAATTCCGATTGACATTTATTTTCCAATTCAGATAAGTTGATAATTCGCTTCGTTTCTCTCTAGAAAGACGTTGAGACTCCAACCAGGATCAAGGGTTTGGTGATGTTGGTACGGCATGATGTGATAGCATTTAGGTGCAGCAAAGCCCAAGCTGGCCATATGCACAGCACAGCCCAAGGCAGGCACGATGACAACGGATACGGGATAGTGGAGAGAGAGAGAGAGAGAGAGAGAGAGAGAGAGAGAGAGAGAGAGAGAGAGAGAGAGAGAGAGAGAGAGAGAGAGAAAGTTACATTTTTAAAGACAGGTAAGTCTAACAAATGAGGACTGAGACCTCTACAACAGGGTTTTTACGCCTGAAAGCAGGTGCATGATTTAAGGTGGCTCACACCCTCTGCGCGCGCATCGTTTGAAAAGTGTTTGAAAAGTGTAGATTTTCAGTAAATTTTTCGGTAGCGATGATTTTTGTGCGATCAATCGTTGTTGAACGTCTTCTCGCTTTTCTGCAATTCTGGCGACCTAGCTAGAACCTGCTGCTAGTGTCCCTCTTCACTCGTTCTTTCTATGAAAGGGGAAGGCAGCACTCGCAGAAGATTTTCCAAGAATGCAATGTCGACTGGTGCTCGTACCACAAGAAGGGAGAAATCAAAGTCCGCTCTTGAATCATGCCTGAGTATTAGAAAATTATTTCAGAACACGCTTGTGTAGATTTCCTGTCAGTGCCACTGACATCTCGCGACCTTCAAATAGTATAACTTGCTCGATCATCTCCCGCACTGACTAGCAAATTCGTCAGGTAGCTGTGGATGGATCGATTCAGGGAGATCGAAGGTAAATACATCGAAGCACTTCAAACACGTTTCAAGACGCACTTCAAATTTTGTAATTGTGTCTTGAAAATTGTTTACAACAATTCGTACTTCAATACGCTGTTGAATTGTAGCCTCTGGTTGGGAGTCTCGACTGTTTTATTGCTGCATGGCTTTCCTCAACACCGTTCACTGTACATGTATCGCGGAACGCAGATTGGATGGAATTGGAGGTGAATTTGATAATTTGTGACTGTGTCATCAACCAAGTGAGGACATCAAATATCAACAGGGACGCTCCGAAAATCACAAACGCTGCGAAATAGATATGAAAATATTAATGGTCTTACACACTGGAGGGTGTTCCACATTCATTGTGTCATATCTTTAGACTGTCCGAAAGTTTGTCGTGCCGTGCAACTTTCACAGACTAATCCGATAATTGGCATGTGGCCCTACTGGCACACACTCATGCGTATGCCGTTGAGTTTATCTATATGTGCACGCACATGTGTGTATACATATACAATTTTATTACGTATGCAAAATTAGGCAATCTACATGTACATATTATACATGTATGTGTGTGCACTCACTCCTATGACATAGAACGACAGTGCAGGCTATGTAAAGTCGCATCAATGTGTGTCACCCGGGTGTGTACATGCATGCGCGCTCGCGCGGGCGTTTTGTGTGCGTGCCTGGCATGGCATAACGCCGTTCAGTATGACTAGTGTTGAACCGTGGTAATTTGCCCCCACCCCCTCTTTTTTCTGCTGGCGTTGGATATGCAACTAATGACATAAACTCGGTTGTTGAAAACGAGTGCCATGCACCACAATGGATTGACAATAATAGAATACAAGTAGCACTGTAACAGCGCTGGTAATACTAATGTTGCAGCCATGGCAGTTGTGAGTAGCTTTCCAAGTCAAGCCTGCTGCAGAAATTATTGCACTCTGACCAGCTGGAGTGGCCCAGGACTGCCGGTTGTGGAGAACAGGAGTGATGCTTGTATATACGCTTGTATTTACATGATGTACACAGTGTACTTCGAAGTAACGTTAGGTGTATTGCTTGCGTGTTCTTCTGCCTGTGCGAGTGTACATGTGCTGGTCAGTGTGGAACCACCATCCATATCAGATCATACAGCTGCTATCAGTCTCAACAGCTTGTATCTGGCAAATAGGGTTTTAGTGACTCGATTTTGCTTACTGTGTTCAACAGAGTGGCATTGCACACAGCTACTTGATGTAATAGTAGCATCTTGGAAATTTTAGATTTTTGATAGTTAGCTTCAGTAGAAACTTCTCCAGTGTGGCTCTTAGCTTCATTACCACGGAGACTAAGCATTCAAGTAATGCACGAAGAACATTGGCTAGATGTGAAGTGAAAAGCCATTGGACCGTACCCCGTGGAATACGCATTTAGTATAGAAGAATTTCTTGCTATGTTGGCAGCAAACACTGTATAATATAATAATTACATTACCAGTAGAAAGTGCCTAATGTGCATTGCTTCAGCACTATGTTTTGGACAAAGCAGTCAACAAATTCCACATCACTATCGGCTTCATGTTGGAGAAAGTTGTGAAAAACACTAGAACATACATGTACACTCAATACACATGCTCATCTACATGTATGGCATTTAGTATGTGGGCGACTTCAAAGTTCTATTTTGGTAGTTTGCTTCGGTAGAAACTGTCTAAACTTGATCCAAAGCTCTACTACTATGTTCTGAAGATGTTGCAATCAAGTAATGTAAGCCAAGTATCTGCCGCATTGGAGCTAGTTGTGAAAACCTTTAGACCATACACTCAATGCACATGCTCAGCTATGGCATTTAGTATGTGGGCGACTTCAAAGTTCTGTTTTGGTAGTTAGCTTCGGTGGAAACTGCTAAAACTTGATCCAAAGCTCTACTACTATGTTCGGAAGATGTTGCAATCAATTATTGTAAGACACGTATCTGTCATATGGTGGAGTCAGGGGTTCTAAGGCGTTGGACAATGTCCCAGTGCAATGTGCTGATTCTTGAAATATGGCATCACTTGAAACTTCAAAGTTTTATTTCACGAGTTACCTTCGGTAGAACCTGCTCAAACTTGCTACACAGTACCATTATAAGGTTATGATAGCATAACCATCGAATACAGGGCAAGTCCAGTGTCAAATACTTGTGGGCGGGGCTAATATGTGGGACGTGTGCGCTGAAATGGGATGATTCCGAAAAGAGAAAAAAGTCACCTTCTAGCAGAATTCTACCCACTTCTACAGCTAATGCTGATATTTAGCAAGTATACTACTGTCCTGGTGTTGGTCATCAAGAAAAAGGGGGTAACTACCAGTGCTACGGCCAAAAAACTGGTTTCCGGTATTTTTTGGCCTAAATTGGCAATTGTGAGTACGCTATGTTTGGCCCCTCCCCCGAGTGAAACCGGCCGGTAGAACTTGATAAAAATTCGTCTCCGTACACTAGATATCCAACGGAACAAAGTACAATCATTTGTAGCCACGTTTCAAACAAAAAAAAATTGGACCCGAGGGGTAGGAGCCACCTTAACAAGCAGGTTGTCAGAGAGAGAGAGGGGGGGGGGGGGGGGAGGGAGGGAGGGAGACAGACAGAGAGCACGTGCACCAAGAATGGCAACCTCAGTAACCTGTTGTACAGGACCACAAGCCTGATAGACTACTACGGAGAATACATGTACATACTTCACCCCGACAAAACGACGCTCTGAAGTTATCTACTCGTGCTAGTGGACAAGCAAGACGACCCGGAGCTCTGAAAGAAGAAAAGTCTTAAATAAAAAAATAGCGCTAAAGTACAAAACCAGACGAGCAGTAACAGTAACCATGGTTACCTGTAGCTGTACGGGTTGGAGAGCTGGGATAAAATCAGAATAAGCGGCAGCAGCAGCAGCAGAGCGATGGGCTATTTTCCACGAAAATACACGTCAAGTCAAGAGCCGGCTGTAAAGGCAGCTAGCCAGTATAACTCCTTAAGACTGGAGTCTAGAAAATACAAAAGTTTAAAATCGTCACGTACATCATGGCAAATAAAAACAGCGATTGTCGCACGAGATTGACAGCCAAGAGAAGTCAGCGAGCGCATACACACACACACACACACACACACACACACACACCGAGTCACACGATACCGGGCTGTCCACTTCACCCAGCGCATTACTATGAGATCATCACTGCTATGACATCAATGATATGACATCATAACTATGACATCATCGCTATGGCATCTCCCACAGAAACCTCAGCTTACAGACAATGAGCGCTTTGCATTCTTAAACTCCGACTGGACCACCTGATATAGACAGACAGACAGACAGACAGACAGACAGACAGACAGAGGCACATGCACCAATACACAGACACATACACAGACACATACACAGACACATACACAGATAAAGAAGCACACACACACACACATACACATAATGGTAAGCAAAGAAAACCAGTAGAAACCGAGCGGCAGTCGGCTAAGTCGTGCCGTGAGAAATCAACTCCAATGCTGCGGGCTGGCAAGCAAAGCAAGGGCTCGCGAACCAAACACACTCTCATCATGTATAAACACACAATAACAGACAGGCACACACACACACACACACACACATACACGCACGCACACACACACACACACACATACACACACACACACACACACACACACACACATACACACACACACACACACACACACACACACACACACACACACAGGAGGAGGAGAAGGAGTCCTACATACTTGTTTCACGTTGTTCTTCGCAACCTTCTTCATTTCCGCAATTAAATTGTGCGATGTCGTCAAATCCTGCATGAAGGAAAGCAAAGAAAAGGAAGAAGAGAATGTAAGAAAGAAAAACAACACATGGGCACCAGTTATGAGTAGGGGTCAAACGGGTGTACCTTTAACTAACGAACGGGTAATTTTCTTAACGGGCGGGTTAACGGGTACCCTTTAGCAGCCATATTATTTTTTTGCGCATTTCTCACATAAAATAATGATTTTAATTTGTATATTCTCAGATTGTATTTTGATACTACATTATGATTCGCAATTGATTCGTGTATCATAATTATTATTATGGCAATGAAGGTTCCAAATGAATGTCATCCGTGCATTTGCCCATGTACATAACTTCACAGGCAGTAACTTACAATCGTACATGTAGATGGTCCTACAAGCTACATGTATTTTGATACATGTACGCAAATCAACTGCAGATCGATGTGATTCAAGCCATGCAAGGACAGAGTGGTTTAGCAAAACTTCCGTGATCTCGCGCAATCCTATTTGCTATGTTCGCAGAGAACTGGTACTCGTTGCATTCAGAAGATGTTCGCGCCCATAGCTAGCTGGGGTGCCTGACACAGCTGATGTGCTGCTGGCCAGCTAGCTGCTAGTGCTAGCTTGTTGAACTCGTGAAATGAATCTTCACAAATCCGTAATCTTGTATGCAATATTTCGAACTACTTTTCAGCTCGTCGATTGAAGGAACAAACTACAACCATGAGTATCATACATGTACTTCTCGAAGTAGCTACCACCTACGGACATCACCGTTTGTGACACTCCGACTGGTCACTCAGCCTGGTGACACTAGTTCATCAAGTACTGTGGCCGGTTCGATGTCGGAGAACCATCGTAACTTTCTAGTTACTCAGCTGCCACCTCGAACGAGTTTCAAGTCTTGCATTTTCTCACATCACAATCAAAAACCTCCAGTACGAGGATTTTTACTTGCACTAGAGTGGAGAGAACAACTGTCAAGTCTGTCTTTCAGCCTGCTCCCGCCTGATAAAGTCGAAAGCGGGAATGCACAGGAAAAAGGAAAAGAGTATCCGCACTCCTATTTTGAGTCTTGGAAGACGATAGGATCACCTTTTTTTTTTTTTTTTTTTTTTTTTTTTTTTTACAAACGGGTACCCTTTTACTAACGGTACCTGAGATTAACGGGCGGGTACCCGGGTACCCGGTACACCCGTTTGACCCCTAGTTATGAGTACCTGCCCCGCCAACATGGTACAGTCAGATCTCGCTTATCCAGTCCTCTCTTATCCGGAAGAAAAGTGTTGGCTACCGATTTACAACATATGTCATGCAACATACAGTATGTGATGCACAAGTCATGTGATGTACACTTGTACAGGTCGTGTGATGTACAGGTCATGTGATGTACAGGTCAGGTGATGCACTGGTCATGTGATGCGCTGGTCATGTGCTGCACAGGTCATGTGATGAACAGGTCATGTGATGCACAGGCCATGTGATGCACAGGTCATGTGATGTGAGCTAACACAAACCTCAAGGAAGATCTTGCTGACTTTGAACAGTCTGTTAGCGCAGTTCTGGAACAGACGGTCGGACCTCTGAACACCATGCTTCATCACCACGTGTTCTACGACCAGCTGCAGTTGCTATGGGAACACAAGAACAACATTCCATGACAACACAAACACATAAAGGGTTGAGGGGGAGAGGAAGAGGGATGGCTCGACACAATGGCTAGCCAGAGGTGGCAAATAATTGCTATAACTAGGATGGTGTAATCACAGATGCGAAAAGTTCTGAGGTTCAAGGAGCTGGCGCATGCAGTTGAGAGGGTGTGCCAGGGCCAATCAACTTCATCAGCCAGATCAATCGCTTCTGCCATCAGAGTCAGCGAGGTTAAAATACAAAGCCTGCTCCTCCACAAGGAGAAATGTACGCCTGCAGTCCATCTCATAGTGCTGAAAGTTGTTCCCCAACAAGTATGGCAGTACAGAAGAAAACAAAGAGAACAACCTCCTCCAATAATGGTTTACAACCACAGCCACAACCACAACTACGACAACAACTTCAGCCACAGCAGCAACAGCAGCAGCAGCAGCAGCAGCAGCAGCAAGAGCAGCAACAGCAGCAACAGCAGGAGCAAACACCACCAACAGCAGCAACAGCAGCCACAGCAGCAACAGCAGCCACAGCAGCAACAGCAGGAGCAACAGCAGCAGCAACAGCAGCAGCAGCAACAGCAGCAGCAGCAACAGCAGCAATAGCAGCAACAACAGCAGCCACAGCAGCAACAGCAGCCACAGCAGCAACAGCAGCACCATCAATGCAATTCTCAAGTGGTAATAGCGTGATGGTTCTAACCTGTTTGTGACGTTCGGATCGCTTGACACGGAGCTGCCGTCTCTGCTCAGCCGTTGTCTTCCTGCCCTCCCTGGCCTCCTTGTCTTCTTGATGACTCCCTGTTGCAGCTGCTGTAGCAGTGAAACAGACACAATCCCACAATGGCAGGTGAGAAATAAGCCAGCCCATCTCAATGAGTGTGCACGACTATACCGATTCACTGCACTAAATTACAGTACAGTGCTGTCGGATGGCGAAGAACTGGGGGGCAGCCATCTAGCCTATAGACCCTATTCGATAAACGTCACAATGTGGAGTGGCAAGAGGCCTGCACTCAGTGCACAGTGGACTCTGCGTGCGAACATGGGAGTAGAAAAATACCGGTATTTTACTACTCCCTTGTACGAACTTGGCCTTTCTTGCCACTCGTTTCTTGTACGCGTGCCCTAGCGTACGACAAATCCCTGGAGGCGAGTCCAAAAATCACGTTATCGAATAAGGTCTATTCTAGGCCGGGTTCTTGTTTCCTGTGCTATGGTCTATGTGCAGTTGAGTCACCAGTCACTCACCAGTCACTCACCAGTCACTCACCAGTCACTCACCAGTCACTCACCAGTCACTCACCAGTCACTCACCAGTCACTCACCAGTCACTCACCAGTCACTCACCAGTCACTCACCAGTCACTCACCAGTCACTCACCAGTCACTCACCAGTCACTCACCAGTCACTCACCATGTATACATCGTGTATACATTGGTATGCCGTGCTTGGTGAAATTCTAGCCTGGTCGTTCTTCGGTACTACGTTCGTTGGAATAGCGAATGACCCCGGGTATAACAACTCGCGAAAAACACAATTTCCAGACCTAGTGACCGTTTGACTGCATACAATCAACCTCACGGATAACGACAACTCGCGGATATTGACAATATTCTCATGCATGACCAAGGTGGCAAGAGCCGTTGCTTGCAAGGTTAGCTGTACCTGTAGTCAACAACGTCACTACAACTAGCTACAACTAGCTCAGAGTAATGACTCAAAAAGAAAACCGACAGCATTACCTGCAGGAGCTTGAGAAGCCGATAGCATTGTATCTATTGCAGACGTTGAGTGACTTCGGGTGCCGACTGACGCAACGGGCTGACTTGCACTCATCATTACGTCATGGTGACTCACGGTGATGTCATCATTACTCGTGGATGATGTGATGGGTGGAGTGGTGCAGTCATGGGGAGCAACGTGCTCGGAAACACGGGACAAGTGTGAGGTTGACAGTGGTGATGACGACGACAATGTGGATGCGGTTGCTACTGAGGCTGACGGTAGTGCCCAATCAGCCGATGATGTTCTTGCCGGTGGTGATTCGAGTAACGCACCGTCCGAAGATGCCACGGACGACAAGTTCATGGATGTGGTACGATGACGCCGCAATGCTGGACCTGACAACGACAACCACCACAACGACGACGACGACAGCGACAACAACAACAACAGCAGCAGCAACAACAACAAAGAACAAGCACAGCAGGAGGTAGGAGATATCGTACGTGATAAACACACAACACAATGACACGTACTGTAGCGTATTACGATATGGCCTAGAACTTCTCGATGGAAAAGCTGAGTAAGCTGCATGTTTGCACTGTGCAGCAGTAAAAGGCGGATAAAAAAGAAAACAGTTGCTGATCTCCAAAACCCCTGTATCAATCCTGCATCAGAAAGCCAACATACGGTCACAACTTGAGCACTCACTAACACTATGTCCCATACCTTTGCAGAGGCCTTGGTGTGTTGATGTTGTTGCTGTTACTGGTACAGAGGCAGACAC